TTGAGAATTATTGAGAGCACATATTTCTGAAAGAAAGCTGCCTGTCTTCTTCTTTTCTGCCTGGACTCTGTTGTTGTGACTGATGAAGATATCATGTGGCAGGAGGCTTTTGCAAAATGAAGCCCTTCTCACTGGGACCAGCACAGAGAACCACAACTCATTTCTAATTTACTACTGTTATTCTACAAGAGGCTTTGAATTGCTTCTGGCCAGAATGAATTGACTCAATCAAGAAATGTCCCCATTGCCAAGCCCCTTCTCCATTTTCCAGCATCGTATTTTATTTAATGTTTCCAAACATTCATTCTCATAACATTTTTGAAGGGGAAATTCAAAACCTGTTGACATGCTTTCCTTGCAACCTTTTTTTCTTTTTCTACCCTTCATTCCAGTTCATTCCAATCTATGCCAGTGTGCTGCTGTCTTCTGGGAGTGAGAACTGAACCAGATTTAGCTAGGGAAAGTAGCTTTAGCTGCTCTATTAGAAGATAAACTCCACAGCAGCAGCCTGAATTTCACGTACTTCTATGTGATGCTACATCAAGGTGTGAAGTCTTCTCCAAATTGCTGCCTACTGTAACCCACAGGGCTGCCCTGGCATGCCTGCCTTCATCAACTTTTAGCCTCCCCTTAATGGACTTTGCCTGCGTTCTCCCTGCAATAATTTTCAGAGACTGATATTGTATTTTCTTTCAGTGTTTTCATCCTCTTCCCTTCCTCCCCCCCTTTCTCCCCCCATTATCTCTGTTCCTTATAATATCAAAACCTCCTACTTTAGTATTACCTGATATGATTAACAACATGCTCTGCAGTTTTATTAATGAAGATACTAAAGGAGATTAAACCAATTCCATAAACCTCAAACAGCTTAGAGAGAACTAAATAAACTCAAATAATCACTGCTTACCTTTCTGATTTTACAACATGGCTTTGAATGACTTTCAAGCCCTGCAAACCAGTTTGAAGTCATTCTTTCTTTAAGGAAGACTGAGAAGATACATTACTGACCTTCATGCAAATCTGCTATTGCAGAAAGACAACTTGTTTGGGCACTACAGATGTTTCTTCAATTTTTGAAGCATTTTAAATGAGATTGTATCATCAGTTTTGTTCAAGTAATTTCTTTCATGTGTATTAGGCTTCTTGTTATATGTTATTCAGAAAACAAAAACAAAAACAAAAACATTTTCTTTTCTGATCTGATACCTTGCAATGAAAATCAAAGTACCTCAGCATTTCCCGTGTGAGGTTACTCATGACAAGTATCACAAAGGTACTTTAAGGGGCAAAAGATCTTCAGAATACACTTCAGTTATTCCTGACTTTTAGTTTAGAAAACAGGCATCCAAAGGACTACAGGGCCAGACCCAAAATAACTTACTTTTTTCTTTCTCTCTCTCTCTTTTTTTTTTTTTTTTTTCCTTCTGGAAAATAGCCTTGTAATTATTTGTTGTTTGTTTGTTGTTTTGGTTTGATTTTTATATTATTTTATCACCATGTTTGAATTATTTTCTTATTGTGGCTTTCCTAAACTACCAGGTATTTTTTAAAGCTTCTCAAAGGATTACCTACACTTTTCTGGCTGAAAACTAAAGAGCGTTGTAATGGTGGCAATAAAACTATAACATTTAGCACTTTCTACTTTTATAGTGTTCTAGAGAAATTAAAACACCACTATGCCCTGTGCTATTAGTATGAATAGCACCATGTTATTGTAGTAATGTGGCAAGACAGAATTTCCTCAGTGTTACACAGAGATATGGTTAGATTGTTGGATTTAGATCTGTTGGGCATTCCTGGCTTTTAGTTTGGTACTTTCCTGAAACAGTTAATACTTTTGACACTGCTTGATTTGTCAGTAGTTATTCTGCCAACTGATGCACTGGGGAGGTTGTTTCTCATTTTCATAAATAAGTTGGATATTTTTCTTCAGAACTTTATCAGACAGGATGCTGCATTTTAGTTTTTATTTTGAGGATGTGTGACCTATCTGTTAATAGTCATTTTTGGACATCATGCCGTATTCTGTGTTTGCTCAAAATTTTCACTGGAGTCAGCCAGAATTTGTGAGGTTATCTATTTCCTGAAGGTACTTTCAGGCCACAGTTTTATCAGATTGCCAGTTATTCTATGTGCCCCAGTTCTTGTGGAAACATTGGAGGGGACCTGATTTTCAGAAGGCATTCAGGACAACAGAACATTAAAGTTTCAACTATCCTGAAATTACCAACTGTTAAATCTTGGACATTACTAGACTTGTTTTCCTAGATCATACTCTGTACATTGCATATAATCTATCATAAAAATAGAAAACATTTTTTCTTGCTATATATTTGCTGTAGAAAGATCTAATTTAAGGAATTTCAACTGATTTATAATTCCTTTGTTTTACTGGATTTATAACAATTTCAAATGCATTAAAAATATGTAGACATCAATTTTAAATCCCTCCCTCAAATGATTTTCTTTTCTGTTTATTGTAATCTATTATTTTCCACTTTGTTTTTATGATTTCCTTGGTATTCCCGTGGAGAAACCAGAGTTGTTATGGTCCTACTATGTTTCCTCTTATATTCACTTGTTCATATCAACTTTTTTCTTTTTCATAGGAAATTGAAATACTTTCACTAATCCCCTAAAGAGAACTTGCTACCCCTACTGCTTTCTACACAGTGCCTTTTATTTTATTTTATTTTATTTTATTTTATTTTATTTTATTTTATTTTATTTTATTTTATTTATTTTATTTTTTAATTAGTGGGGGTGGAGAATGTTTTGCTTTTTGAAAAGTATTTAAAGTAGGTACAATCCTTTCTTTGACTTTCATCCTTGGAGAAATAGTTTCTTGATCAATTTCTACTGAAATGAAACATACATGTCACAAAATTTTTGCTTAGGAAAAACAAAGATCTGTTTTGTGTCTCCAGATATATTGTAGTATTTTAGTAAAGTGCTTCGAGAACTTTCTTTGTTTCTTGATGGAAATGTAAGTAAACCCATGCTTAGATGTTTTTCATTTTGTGTTGTTGGTTGTGGGTTTTTTTCCTCTTTTTTTTTTCTCCATCATTTTGTCCCTCTTGAAGGAAATCTCATATTTCCATGTGAATTTTCTATATTCCTTCCCCGGCTAACCTAAGAAATATATGTTGTTTACTTTAAAAGATTTCAAAGTCTGGACAAGCTAAGATAGGGAGACACAAATCTGTTTGCATGACAATATTATACTACAGGCTTGTATATTCTTTTCTTCATCAGAAATGGGATTATGGCATGAGTATACAGGATTTCTTATCCATATAATTTGATGGCAGGAAATATTAAAATAAACTATAAACTCAATTTGCAGCTTGTCTTAGGGAGGAAATTGGGATACGACTGAGTAAAATAAAGATTGCAGCCTAGCATCAAAAAATGTGGATTTGCAGAAATAGAATGATTACATAACGTTCTCTGTCATTTTCTTTCAGTAACATTGAATAAAATTACCTTACCATTTATCTTAGTAAATGTTAGGTTCCTGAATAAACCTTCATAAACACAATTTTTTGTATCTCTTAATAAACTGAAGAGACTTAACTAACTATATTCTTAGTGAAACATTTATGTCTTAATCCATGCAATCAAATTAATTAAGGAATTAAAGTTTAGAGAAAACAGCTATTACTTTGTGGAAAACTCACTCCTACAAACAGGATTAGTATTTTGTTAATTTTTTTTTTTTTTTAGAACATTGAAGGCCTAATTTTTAAAGGTGCTGAACCTCTTCTAATTAGCTTGTCAGTGAATTAATTGCCTATGGAAGCTATTCTGTGGAGATATCAGGAAATTACAAATTGGGCTTTGCAGCTGCAGGTCCTGTCCCACTGCCTGGGGCCTGGCAGCCACAGACCTGCTTCCCTCAGGCTCGCTTTGGGCCTGTTCTCCTTTTGAACAAAAACTCAAAATGGGGCCTGTTGGTGCTGACTCCCAGCCTGCTCCTCCTGGGCGCGCTGCCTGTTATCTGAAGCTGTCTGGCTCCCGATAAGCTGTGCTGCCCATGGGAAATAGATTTTTTGTTCTTTTGTTGCCATCGGCTGGGGTTTTTTATTTCCTTTTTCCTCACACCTGTTTGATGCCCAAGAAAATTTCCATGGAAGAATGTCTTTTGCAAAAATATTCAGAGTTTTTGTTATCTGGGGATTGTTCCTTCACTGTACTGTTGCTTCCAAGCATCAGTAGAGCAAAAGCTATTATTTTGGGGTTGTTTCTTTTTGGAGGCTGCGGGCTGACTCTGGTGCACTCTGCAGCACTGTGCAGTACAGTCCGGGGCTCAGCAGTACCAGAGACCCCCCAGGCCTCCTGTGCTCCCTTCCACAATTGTCTTGGGAAGCCAACATTTCCTCCAACTCTTGCTCAAGATGGCAGAAAAAGAAACTTCTCTGTGGAAAAGGGAGGCTTTCCTGGTTGGGTTTTTTTTTTTGTTTGTTTGTGTTTTTTGTTTGTTTTTTTTTTAAACTATGAAAGAAGAACAAGAGAAGATCAGATGGAGGCAAGAAGAGCATCTGGGGCAAAAGGCATATGTGCAGAAGTCACGTGCTGCTAGAAACCACACAGGTCTCCTGCTGCAAATCTAGGAGGTGTCAGCTTGTGCCTCTCCTGACCCCCTCACCCCAGTGGTAAATGAGATCTTGCTATTCTGGCTGAGCAGTCCAAAGCAGTCAATTTGTTCTCTGAAAGTCAAGTGTCTGCATTGCTTTTGTTCACCATTAAAATTGCACTGGGAATTACAGTTTACATCCACTTGAATATTTGTTTTACATCATATTTTTCTTCATAAATTTGAAAAGTCCTTTTCCTCAGTAGCTACAGCTGTGCTTGACTTACACCTGCATCAGGAACCCCCAAGCGTGTGGGTGTTTGGACAGGAGGGCAAGTCTTTTCTGGTGTACAAAATGTACCAAGAAATTATCAAGTAGTACAGATTTAACAGGTTTTTTAATAAAGTTGAAAACTTAGTTTGTTCACAGAGTTTTAGGCCTTCACTTTGGAGCTGATATATTGCAAGCTGTTTGGTCTCCATTACTTTGCTTGGAGAAGCATTTTCTCTAGTGTATTATTTATATTTAAAGCCAGCAAAAAGTAGCAGTATCAATAGGAACAGCTTGCAATGCAGAAAGAGGAATGATATCAGCTGGAAAAAGCACAGAGTATAGCCAGGGAAAGGTTGTCTGTGGCCTTGTTTTAACAGTTTATGACTCTTCTTGCTTTATATAATCGATGTTAGTGTTGCAGATCCATCCCTATGAATGAGGAAAGAAGAGGAGAACATAAGGCATCCATATAAAAAGGAGCTGACGTGATGTTTTGATGCAGATTTCTACCCACCTGTGTGTGAACCAGTTACACCAGAACTACAATGTTCCTTTTTTTTTTTTTTTTCTTCTAAGTGGTAGCTGTGATTTGAGGTAGGGCGAGGTCCCTTTCTGCTTGCATTTAGAATAATGCTTGTATTTACAATATAGAGTTGAATCTTCAGAATATTGTCTCCCCTGGCATTTTTTTTTTTTTTTTTTACTTTAAATCATGCAATATTTCAATGTAGATTCTATCCTTATTGCAATCTGCACAGCATCTTCTAATGTATTATGTATTTGAATTATTTGAGCTATGTCAACAAGGTATGTCATTATGGTAGGTCTTGGGGGAACATACAAACTTTGGGATGTCATTGCTGCAGGTAAAGAGATATTTCCAGATATTTCCATGCCTTTACTATTCAGGAACTTCATTTATTTTTAGCAAGAACCCTTTTCAATTGCTCTGAAGTAGCAATTTAGTCATGATTTGGTTATAGATTAAGAGATATATATTATGTACATTTCCGTGTTTGAGAAACAACCTGATTTTCAGTTTCACCTCTATTTGCATTTAATTTACAGAATTTCTTACTCCATTCACCAAACTGGCATTTTGTATGTAAAGAGGAGAAATTATCTCTTGAAAGTATTCTTGTTTATTAGAATTTTATCTTCACAGAAGTATGCATAGCTTTATCTTTTCCTCAGTTAGTTTCTATTGCTTTGACTTCAGCATGTTTAATTCCAATGAGTACAAATAATTACAGCTGGTGATTTTATAGACGACATTTTATGTCTACAATTTGTATATAGGCACATCTCTAGATACAATGCGCTATATTGCAACTAATTAAAATAGGTTTTTAAAGCAATTCTGAGTTGTGGTGGTCAGATGAAATTCCAAGCGTTTAAATAGTCTCCTTCTAGAAAATAAACAGTGTTAATTGGGAATTATTCTTGCATTACTTCTTCATTCCACTGTTTGGGGTTTGCAGGCTTACTTGATTTTCTTGTTTGAGTCATGTGAATTAGGAAGGCTTACTTGAAGTAGGCAAGCCTACTACTCCTTGCTCATGCTGTCCATCGTATCCTCAGTTGTCACTGACTTTTTTTTTTCTATTAGACAGAGTAGTGAGAAAATACTTGGGGAAATAAGCTGAACACTGGAATATAGGAATGGCAACTACGGGCTGTATCAAGGACTGTTTACATTTGTCTGTTCTTATGTAACAATCAAACTGCAATTTATTTCTAAATAGTTGCGTAGACTACCTGGTGTTTAAACAGAAATACATGACTTCTCTAACCAACACATTTTTTTTGTTCTACAAAAATTTGTGAGTATTTACAAACAAGGTATTAGTGAAGTGCTAAGAAACAGGCACTGAGGAATTTAATGGAATTTAAAGTAAGGAATCAAACAGAACTTTCAAATAATATAATGAGCTACTCTTCCATAAAAAAAGGAATATAAAACACTTAATAGGATATATTTTACTCAGTTCTTATAGGTAGTTTATAAACTAAAATGCATTTTGTCATAAAACCACTTGCATGTAAGACAGTATGGAAAAGTGTGCTCTGTATTTATCAACAAGTATATAAAAAAATAAATGTTATATTTGCAAATACTGATGCAATCAAATCTATACACAAGTTATACACAATGCTTTCCCTGAGTAGTACTCATTCAATGTATCACAATACAAGGTTACTTCTTTAACACTGTTCTTAAAGAAAAATGAAAGATTTTATCAAAGCAGCAGGGGATATGATTTAAGGAATTTCTGAAAAAAGCTTTTTTGATTTCAAATACCTTTCCCTCAAAATTAGAAGTATTGTATAAATGCTGAAGTGTTGGATGGATTTCTTTCTTTCATTGATGGCTTTCATTTTAACAACAAAAGAAATATTAAAAGGATCTACAAAAACAAGCATGAAGAAAATGGTCTTTATATATATAGGTAGCAAGTTCAACTGAAGTCATGTTTGCAAGGCATGTTGTATTGTGCATGATTCTCTCTTGTAAAAACTAGTTAGAACCAGGCTCAACAGCTTTACACAAACACATTTCAATTTCTATCTCCAAATAGCTTAAATAGACTCCTGATTAGCAAGGTACTTAGGCATGCAAGTAGACTCAGTGAGTATCCCCGGCAAAGCTAAATATATTTGCCAAATCACTTACCTAAGGGTGTCTCCTGAATTTTTTGAATTGTTGCATTGTTTACCCTGCTCTAGTTTCTCCCAAGAGTGACTCAACAACAGTTAAACAGCTGGTAGAGTATGACACCTCTCTATCATACCAAAACCTGTACTTGGCCAAGTTTTCATTGTTCCTTTTAGCTTTGGTTTCTAGGTGCAGGGTAGGGATGGGGTTTGTTGTTGTTATTTTTATTATGTTTTTATTATTATTACTATTGCTATATATGATAATAATAATACTCTTTTTTTCTTCTTTTTTTTTTTTCAGTCCACCCATTTCTTATCTTGTATTTAGCTTTACAATGTTTGGTCAGGTAAGAACTGTTTGCAATAAATTTGTACAGTCCTTTTGCCAAAAGGGATCTCATTCAACAGCTGAATCTCCCAATCCCTACAACAGCAGAAGTTTAGTTCCCAGTTTTAACTTATAGTTAATTGAACGTGGCCTGTTAAACTAAAATTAAATACCTGACCCAATGTGATCGTCTCAGTTTCATAAATGTAAATAGAAGCTTTCTCCTGTGTTGGAGTTTGTTTGTTTTCTTACAAATCATACTGTTACATAAGGCTATCATAAGACAATACTGAGACTTGTTTGTAGTTAAAAGTAAAGCATGATTCTCTGATATCCATGATGTTGATCTGTAGAAATACTACTAAAGAGAAACAAACACATGTGCACTTGTCTTTGCAAAATTCAGGCAGATTCAGTATGTACAAACCATACCAGTGTTATATGCTTATTATGCTTTGATTTAGAGTTTGGATTTTGCTGAAAAGTACAGACGGTTGTACTCTAAAAGCCTCTGTTAGGTTTTCCTTTAAGATATTTTTTAAATAACTTGATGAGGACTTCATTTGGAGTGCCATTTATCAATATAATCTCCGTAATAATGTATTAAACTATGTTTTTAAATTTGGGGGTTAGGATGATAGGTCTGATCTCTGAACAAGAGTGAGCAATGCCGTGTTCTCAGGGACTGGGACAGAACAAAAGCAAATAGGGATGTTCAAAAAGACATACAGCCTGCATGGCAAATGGAGTATTTCTTCCAGTGCCAGTAAGGTCTCAGACCAAGTGGGATGTTCACTGTCAAGAAATGTGTCTTCTCTGCACCAACTGTAGAAAGTCTGTAGGACTGCAGCTTGAATGCCCAGGGACCCACAGAAATGAGAGCTGGAAGGAACTGGGATTCTCAGTCTAGAAAAAGACTGAGAAAGAAACACAGCCACAGTTCTGCATACAGGTGAGAACCAGTAAGTAAAGAGACATGGAAAAAAAAAAAAATCTCATCTCCATACCTATGGTAGATATGAGGAGAAGATAAAGGCTTAAAAGGCATCAGGAGAAACCAAGTCAAAGCTTTAGAAAAACTAGTTGTGTGGAGCAGAGCAATGCAGTAGCTGGGAGGCTGCGATGTCTTCATCACAGGTCATCAAGAACAGGTTAGACCAACGACTTAGCAGTGAGATAGGTGTTGATAGTCCTGCTTTAAAGGAGGGGGTGGACACAGATGACCTCTCGACCTCTTTCTGCCTCATGCTCTTGTTGTTTCTCTTTCTTTTTTTTTCTGGATACAGAGTATATATTTAACCCAACAGGCTGCATTTAAACTAAGAGGGAATGTGATAGTTTTCTATATGGAAATAAAATTCCTCCTCATACTTTGTCACTCTCTGATGTAAAAAAAAAAAAAGAAAACACCTTTGGCTCAGCTCAGTCTGTCTTTTTTTTTTTTTTTTTCTCCCTTTGGTAAGCATAAGGCTGAGGCAGTTGGCAGAAGAATGTACTAAGGACAATTGGTTTTGGAAGCCTGCATCCCAGAAAGCACAGCAAATGTAAACGTCTCGTCAAATGCGCTTTAATTCTGCACTGCAGGATCTTTCTTAATTATGAGAATCAAAATGCAGAGTGGAAAACTTAGGGTGTACCTGGTTTTCTGAATGGGACAGCAACAGATGGGAGAGAGTTTTATGCCACTTGTCCTCCTAATGTTAGGGCTACAGTGGCTCTTGTGAAACATTTGTTGATTTAAACAGTGCAAGCAGAACTATTGATAGAGCCCATTACCTTAGCTGTCAGATTGGAGTCACTAAACAATTGTAAGGTTGAGTTGGTTAAGTTACATGTAAGTGTGCTCGTTGTTACAAATTGTGCTTTTCTATTTATTTTTTTTTCAGTGCATTTGCATCATCTTTCAAGCGTCTAATCAAGCATGAATTACCTAACTGCAGGTACAAGCAGTAAGTTATTTATCCATTTATCTTAGCTCTTTTTCTCTTTTTAATTCATTTTTATGAAACATTTTGTTTGTTTGTTTGTTTTTCATATATTATGATAATTACTAAAATATATTTGAGAACTTAACAGGGAATAATGTTCCACCTTCAGTTTTGCCTTTGCTAACCTTACTGTTTCCTGATGAACCCTATTTAAGAGGAACCTAAAAGCCACATGTAATAACAACAAAAGCAATACCTCTAACTACAAAAACAAACAGATGTGAGTATGTACTATAGTAGTGTAGCAACTTCAGAAATGTGAACTATCTTATACTGATCAAGAACTGCCTACTTGAATGTATAGGAAGGCTAGAGCAATAGCTCTGAGACTAGTTTTCGTAACACGTTAATTCTGATGACCAATTATTATTTAAAAGACAACCCTGTTAACTTTTCTTCCTGATACAAGAAAGCAGAAGGAAAATCATAGAACTGCTTGTTATACTCTGAGCAATGTGTCATCTCCATCCTACAGGTGGAGGAATTATTTGGTAGCTAGTATCTGCTCCTGAAGCCCATAAGTGGAGGAAGCCAGTTTAAGGAGACCACCAGAGCTGTCAGGCACACAAAAGTCAGCAAATCTGAAGAGCTGACTGGGGAAGGAAAGGAAGGATGTCCAAAACCAATCATGGAAATCTTCAACTTGTTGGTCTGCACTCTCTGTCTCATTCTTTAGGAATGACTGTTTCCCATTCCTAATGCCTTCATCTGATGAGTCAGATGAGGCTGATGCTAACCAGCTTTCAAGAGGGCAAGCCATTAGGCTGAAATGGAGGTAGTCTCAGGAAACTGAAAACTTCTGCCTGCTATGTAGTATGAAAAACTCAGGGACATTTTTTTCCCCTAATTTTTTGTTAGATTAAAACAATTCCGTGCAAAAACTTATGGTTGGAAATCGAACTAGGAGTCGAGCTAGGGAGTTGTGCCAGGCTCCTTATATTTCCTTCTTTATACCTTCTGGACTTTATTTCAGTTAAATGTTTGTAAGATCAAACTTCTATGCTATCTGTAAATCAAAATACTATCAGTGGCCTCAAGTTTGGAAAGCCATTTAACTGGTTCTGTGACTAAATCACTGTCATCTCCATCTTGATTTAATCTCTTTCATAATGGCATTAAGAACTGCAGTACAGAGAGGCAGATCTTATGTCTGCTTCATGAAATGTGCTACTTGTACAGACATGCTGAGTTTTTGCCAGTTAAAAACATGCTTCACCACCCCTCTGATTTTTTTTTATGCCTTCTGCACTCTAATTACATGAGCTAGTAAACTTACATGTGTACATATCTCCAGGTTTACATGGTAAGTGACCAATGGAGAACATAGATTGATCAGTGTGTAATCAGCTTAATAGTGAATTTAGAAAGTGCATTCAACATCAAAGATGTAGGGACACTTAGACCCTACATGCATGATCATTATAGTTTGGGAGGAAAACGTTATAGTGTGTTTGATCAGTGATGAGAAGTAATTGTTAAATATGAATTAATAAAGTTACCTTAGAATTAAGTTTTCTGAGGACATCCAAAATAGAGCAAACAAAGGGTGTGTCTAGGGGTTTGTTAAAGCATTCATGTCACCTTGTCAATGTTGAGTGTCTTTTAAGAAGTTTTAGTTCTGTCTTTCCTCAGCAGTATATTTTATTATCAAATTCTTGTGAAAGTAGGAAGTTGTATATATTAAAGCACAGGAAATCAAGGGAGGAAGACAGTGTTACACAATTCTAAATAAAAGATAAATTAACATGTTCCCCCATGTAATTACAAGGGAAAGAGGACCTTGCTCTCTAAGCAGCAAAAGCATAATGAAACACGTGTAGCTTTATTTCTTATGTGTAGCTCAGTTATACCCCTTAGTGTGGATGCTTGACAGCTGTTTACTTTCTTGATTAAAGTCTGACTATAGGGGTGAGCTGGGCCTTTTTCATCCTCACTAGAAAGAAAGGCAACATCTTTTGAATAGACTACATGAATATGCAGAATATGTCAGGGTGTTTGTATTGTTGAGCACATGTTGCAGGATGAGAGTATGGGAGAGACTGAGAATAAAAGACTAGAAAAAATAAAGATAAAAGGGAAAGTAGGGGCAAAAGGAAAAATATTAGAGAATATTATATGGAAAAATTAGGAGAGAAGTGTGAAATAAAGCATAGAAGCAGAAGTAATTGTTTCATACAAAAAGTATCACAGTCACAGAATTCCCAAGGCTGGAAGGGACATCTAGGGGTGTCTCCCACATGAGCAGGGTCACCCCGAGCTGTGTGTCCAGGAGTGCCCAGCCAACAGAGGAAACAACCCCTTCTTCATGGTTGGGATTTTGTACCAACTGCTCAGCGATCTCATCGCAACACACAAGAAATTTAGGGGCAGATTTTGTTTGGTCCATCACTTATTGCGGTCATGATTGCTATCTGTAGCTTAAAGAAAGGGATGCAAATAAATAGGCTAGGTAAATGCAGGTCCAGCAATGTAAAAGTATGAGTTTGTTGATTGTTTCGGTTTTGTTTTTGTTTTTTATATTACAGTACAAGGATGATATATACACTTTCCGTAACAGTTGAGCTTTAGTTATACATATATATTTTCCTCAGCTGAATGTCATTTTGTCTTAGTCAGAACTACTAAAAAAAAAAAAAAAGTAGTATGAATAAAACAAGAGTAATTTATTCTAGTACAAAAATATTTGCATAAATACTGATTAAAATTCTAATACACTACACATTTATTACATAGGTAGTCCAGCTAACCCAGAATTTTTTATAATACCTCTCTGCAGAGTGTTGGCTTAGCAAATTCAGAACATTTTATGAGATAAAATTGATCTTGATTGATTTATTGCTTGAAAAATTTGGAGCTTTTCAAGGTTATCTGATGAAAAAGTATGAATATGAAACAAACTATTGTATTAATAACACCCCAAAAAGCAACAAAATGTTTGATTAAGCACTTTGTAAACTTACAGTTTTATTACCTGAGGTGGGAAAATGGTGCCTTAAGTTTTTCTAAGGGAAAAAAAAATATTTTTAATTTTAACATATAAGCACTATGTACCTCTGATATGTTCCTCATGGCAGCCTCATAATTAAGCCAGTGTGTCACATGAAAATAAAGCCTAAGTACCAGTAGAGAAACTGAGCCAGATCCTAGACGCTTTAAAAGAACATAGCAGCATTTAAGCCAATGTGTGACTTTGAAAGGGGAGCCTTTGGTAAAGGGATGATGGGAGGAGGATAATCAGAGGTGTTTGGGGGATGGGATGCCAGGTCAGAGGGTCACAGTGACTGTAACCATAAGGTATGAGTACCATGCCAGGTGTGTGTATAGCATACCTTTCGATGGTCATGGTGTCTGGGAGAAGCACTTGGTGACTCAAAAAAGGCAAATGTTGCCTCCATCTACAAGGAGGAAGATTTGGGGAACTGCCAGCCAGCCTGACCTTAGTCTGTGGGAGGATTAGGCAGGTGATGAGGGACAGGCAGTAAGCCAAAAACTGCCTGACCAACCTGACTGCTTTCTATAACAAAAAGTGATGGACATTTTATGTGGAGAAGGGGAGAGCAGAGGATGTCATTTACCTTGGCTTCAGTAAGACTTTTGACACAATCATTTGCAGACCTTATTTAACCACACTGGAAAGGTATGAACTAAACAAGAGGAAGATTTGGTGTAAAATTGGCTGGACCCTTAGGCTCAAGGGTTGTGATCCAGTAGCAGATCCAGCTGGTGGCTGGAATCCTGGGGCTGATACTGTGTGATATCATTGCCAGTGACCTCAGTGGTGAGATGAAGTGTACCCATGGCAAGTTTGCAGATGATGACAGACTGGGGAGGTGTGGTGAATACACTGGAGGGACATCAGCAGGCTGGAGAAAAGGGCTTGCAGGAACCTCACAAATTCTGACAAATGGTAATACAGCATCCTTGAGCTGGGATGGAATAAGTGTCCACGTTATGAGCTGGGGGACTGAGTAGGTAGAAATAGCTTTGCAGAAAGGGGTTTGTGGATGAGCAGCAACTCAGCCAGCAGTGTGCACTTGCAACAGAGGCCAATGGCATCCTGGGCCATAATAACAAGAGCTATATTCCCATCCGTGGAGTATGTGTAAGATTGCATCTGGACTACTGCATCCTCCTTTGAGCTCCCGAGTACATAAAAGTCAATGATATAAAAAGGCAAATACAGTAAAGTGCTGCCAAGGTGGTGAGGTGGCTGGAGCAAATGGCATGCAAGTAGCAATTGAGGGGGTTGGGTTATTCAGTCTTATGGAGAGAATGCAGATGGAAATTTTGTTGTTCCCTTCATCTACCTAATGGGTAGGTATAGAGAAGATGGAGCCTTCTTGGAAGGTCACAGTTGCCTTTTAACTGTGAGAGGTAACAGACACAAGCTGGAACATACTTGTTAGATAGAAAGGAAAACAAACAAACAAAAAAACCAGAAACCTCACAAGTGTGGTCAAACACTGGAACAGGTTGCTCAGAGATGCTGTGCAGTCTTCTTCCTTAGAGACAGAAAAACTTGGCTGGATATGACACTGGGAAAGCAGGTATAACTTCAAAATTGTCCCTACTTGGAGCTGAGGGTTCAACCAAGAGATCTTGACAGGTCCCCTCACCCTAAAGAGGGTGAAGATCATACAGAAGATTTACCTGATTTAAAATTTCATTTTGATTTCTTTGTGGATTTGAGTTAGGTATATACAGTATCTCTCTCTATATACATATAATTGATGTCATAAAGACCATATCTAAGTTGTCTTGGGAATGTTAATGAGTAAGTGGGGACTCAGGTTCTCCATAAAGGTGGGCAGAGTGAATATACAGGGTAAATGCAGCTGCTCATGGAAAAAAATGTTGTGCACCAACAGCTGCTCTACATATAGCCCTGATGTCAGCAGGTGCACATAAACCCCTCTTTGTTATGTGTAAAAGCTGGAGATGGAGCTTTATGAGACAGCAGCCATACCTAAGTGGCTTCCCAAGTTCATGAGCATTCAACAAATTGTTAATGGCCTTTCACCTGATGGAAGAATAACTTTCCAGCTTATTTGAAAAGCAAGCAAGAACATTCCTGTGTATGTTAGTTTTATTCACACTACTCTGTGTGCCAAATTTTGTAGAAATTCACTGGGGGGGAGAGAGGGGGAGGATTTAAAAAGAAAATGAATACATATGTTTATTCTGATCAGTGAAACATTATTACACTCAGATTCTCCTTTTTTTTTTTCTTATTGATCTGGGGGGAAAAAAAAGTTATGATGAGGGAATTTAAGCAAACTTCACTGAAAATTCAAAGGAATTAAAAGCTTCTGTCTGTGTTAAGTTTCACACCAGGAAAGGTTTGCAGATCACAGTGAATAATCAAGTGACTGTACAATGTGATGCTGTGAACAAAATAGCCAGCAAGGTTAGAAGTCTAAGTGGGAGGAGGATGAACATGGGAGGATGACAGAATGCATATATTGCTCTTGTTTTAAACTGGAGAAGCTTCTTGTGAAAAGTGAAACCCATCTCTACTCAGCTTAATGCAGCACTGGTGCAATACATTGGAGGGGATTCAAAGAGCCATAAAGCTGAATAAAATCCAGCACTGAAGTGTGTTTAGTGAATCCTTTTCCCTCTGGAAGATGATGCTTTCCCTTTAAAGAACAGCAATTAGGAATAACATAATTCCTGGCCTTTGTACACAGTGATATTTTTGACCAGGGTTTTGTATTCTGGCCCTAGATGACAAAATGTATTTGCTCACGAGTTAGCAGCTTATAACAAATTTCAGAGGATCCAAACATATGTGGATGTAGTTAAATCCCCTCTCTCACCCAGTTTGCCAAGGACACTCAGCTGCTTCAGACTTAGGGGTTTTCTCAGTGCTGAACCCTTAAACTTTGTGGTAGGTGGGCAATCTGTTGTGTTTGTACTGCAGCAAGGTAAAAGGCCTGCCTTGCTCTTCCTGGTGGATTTAGGAAATAATTTAATAAGGAGTTTTGGTTACATTGAAGGATGTGCAGGGTTGGACAAAATCAAGCATTTTTAAATAAGAAATACTGGAATTAAAATTACCTGTGCAATTCTAAATTAGACTGCTTATGGTCATAATATCAAAGACACTATTTTTTTCCCAGAGGACCACTGCTTCATTTCGCATAGGGGAATGAATGTATCATGACCGTGAGGTAAATGAGATTATTGCCTGTATAACAGTTAGCTTATTTGCTACAGAAATTTGCACAGATATAACAAATGAGACCAGAGGAAAAGCTCTATCTCTTTGCCCCAGGTTTCTTTCCACATACAAGCTGCTCTCGTTTGCCATGTTATTTCAAGGCAATATTCTGAGTTCTCTGTGCTTCAGCCAGAACAGCCCTTCGATCTCTTTGCTGACTGCCTGTCTATGGGCAAGTTGGAAGAGCTTTCTGCAAACACAAGAGTTTCTCTGCCTGAGCACGACCGATGCGCAGGGACGTTCCCAACAGTTGTCCTCTCCAGTTGCAGCAGCCCAGCACTGGAGCATGCCCACTTGGAGTGATGCCAAAAGCACTCCCCTAAAAGGGTGGCATTTGGGGTAGGTAGGATCTCTTGTTAATTTAGCAGCAAAGCTAAGCATATGTAAATTATCCCCTCCGTCCCCCCAGCTTCCTAATGTGACAAAATTGTACCATACCGAAGTTCTTTCTCCAGAGGGGGAAAATATTATAAGTTTTCAGTGGACAGAGGAAACAAGCAGGGCAGAAGGTTTGCCTTAAATTTGTTTTGAGAGACAACTGAACTATTATTACTGAATGAAAGAAAAAAAAAAAGCAAAACAAACAAACACAAAAAAATGAGTCAGACAAGAGCATGGGGAAACACAAGCAGCACTGGTACTACAGCAAAATGTAACTACCAAACAAGGTTTACGATAAAAAAACAGTATCGGAGTATCTGCTGAGCTAGCCATACTATCAGTAACTATGTATAATGCCTGGATAACTGCAGAAAAACTTAGGACTACGTATTCCTGTGAGAAAGCATTAAAAATAACAATTGTTAGAGCCTGTAGAGTATAACTTGCCATTAGTGATAGTTGTGAAAACATAAGGCTGATCTTTTAAGACAGCATTTCTGCATCACGGCTTGCCTGCAGAACTAAAGGGCAATGTTTAACAACCATCCTTCGGCCCTCAATAATTTTTAACTCGCATCTCCCCATCCTGCGAGAGAGTCGGTGCTGCTGCACGGTTGTGCGGCGGTGCCACAATTTGCACGCAACGCGTTTTCCTTTTTTTTAAAAATTTTTTATTTTGTTTAGGGGGGGGGGAAATAAGACCACCCCCTTCTTTATGGTGAAGACGGGCCACTACAAGGGAAGCTCCCCAGTCCCGCAGCGGGCTGCGTTTAAAGTCTCGCCCTGTGAGGGCGAAGGACTTTTTTTTTTTTCCTTTTTTTTTTTTCTTTCTTTTCCTTTCTTCTCCCCCCTCCCTCCCCTTTTTCCCCCCGGTGGGTGCAGGGCTTGGGGGGAGCGGGGCTGCCATTGTCCCCGGGGGCGGGCAGCGGGACGGCCCCGCGGCCCGGGGGGACATCGGCCGGGGGTGGCGGCGCCTCGGTGCCACCCAGCCCGGCCGGGATCGGCTCGGCTCGGCTCGGCCTCCCCCAGCGCGGGGCCCGGCCGCTGCCGCTGTGCCCGGGGGCAGGGGGGGGGAGTGCCTTGTGCCTCCCCCCGCCTCCTCCCCGTCCAGCCCTCCTCTGGGTAGAAGAAGGAGGGGAGGAGGAGGAGGAGGGCGAGTGGTGGGAGGGTCTCTGCATTGAAATAAACAAGCAGGCAGTTATTAAAACGGGAACATGGCGGCCGCAGCCCCAGCTTCAGCTTCGGCTTACAAAGCGAAGGTCAGCGCCGCCGGCGGCCGCGGGGGACGCCGCTGACCCCGGTACCGGCTCCCGCACGCCCCCCTCGGCCCCGTGCTCGGCGGGGGGGGTGTGCCCCGGGCCCCCCCCACGCCTCCCCGACGGGCACCGGGGGCCGCCCGGGGCCGCGGAGGGGCGGCGTTGGCGGGCGGCTGCCCCCGCGCTGACGCCGGCCGAGGGGAGCCGGGGAGGGGGGAGGAACCGGGCGGGGGTCGCGGCCCCCTCGGCGGGGAGGTGAAGGGGAAGAGGGGCTG